AAGCCGGATAACTATGGAAACGTATTAACGATTTCGGCGAATCGGAATCGTAACCGTGCACAGAGAGAAATGTACGACAGCACTTCCACCTTCGCCTCGCGGGAGATGAATTGGACGATGGTTAAATTTAATCGCGGCTCCACGTCCCGCGGCTTTACATTGATAAGAATAGCTTCATTCAAGTCGAAAGCTGCCACGGTTTTCGAGAGCCGCGGAATTATTCCTTATTTCCTGTTTATTTTTCGTTCCTCCGCCCGCCGCGTTTCCACTTGTTTCATTTCGGCCCGGTTAAACCGGGAGGAAGTTCGATACTAAAACTGTCAGACCGATTAAATAAATGAATCCCCCCCGAGAAGTCTCCGGCGAATAGAGTTTTATAACGGGCCACCGGCTTTTTTATGCATTCGCCGCTTGTAAAGATGTCCGAAATACTATCGCGAGACGGGCTTTCGGAGGATTTAGACTGTCGTACGTTCCTTTGACCTCTGGGCAACCCGTACGTCTTCGACGAACATCTGCGTCGTCTCGGAAATCAGTGCGGTTCGGATGATCTTTGGATATTTTATGGTTTTTCTAAATTTTCATGGAATGAGTAATATTCCTTTCAGGCGGCCAAGGATTTACTCGTTTCTTTTTCTATGTGCGTCGCTCGGAAATCAGTGCGGTTCGGATGATCTTTGGATATTTTATGGTTTTTCTAAATTTTCATGGAATGAGTAATATTCCCTTTAGGCGTTCAAGGACTTACTCGTTTTTTCTAGGTCGGAAAGCTGTGAAGTACGCGATAGGATTGAAATGATAATATTTTAACCCTTTGCACTCGAGAGGTGACTCACCATTTAATTTGATATAACAAAATTACAGTGTTGCATATAATATTAAGTTTCGTATGATGCAGCAATATGTGAAACATTTATATAAAATAGCTTTGTTCCTTAATTTACGTGAATATTAGTTAATACTAGTGGAAAGCTTTCGAGTGCAAGGGTTAAATCGAGGTAAAGAAAAATGCATACGTTTAATATCACAGCTGGTTTATTTTCAAATTTCACATATCGGTATGCCCTGAACAAATACTCGTCCGTGTTTCGTCAATCGGACGGATACTGGATTTTTTAAACATTATTTAGCAACTGTTCAATTTTGATCTGTGCAATCATGCGAATACGCATTGGAATATTCTAATTCTGAAACTAGTTTCCGCGATCTATATAAACAAGCACATAGTTTTCTATGACCAATACAATAACATTAAAGTAAACATCCATAAATAATATTAACATTGAACATTAAACGTCAGTGTTGCTACATCAAATCAAGCGACCGAGTGACATTCTAATTCTGAAACTAGTTTCCGCGATCATTATAAACGAACACGTAGTTTTCTATGACCAATACAATGAACAGTAAACATCCATAAATAATATTAACATTAAAACGAAACGTCAGTGTTGCATCAAATCAAGCGACGACCGAGTAATCTAATTTTGAAGCTAGAATTTCGCGATCTTTCTAAACGGACACGTAGTTTTCTAGAACCATAACAACAAACAGTAAAGTAAACATCCATAAATAATATTAACATTAAACTGAAACGTCAGAGTGTTGCCACACAGAATGAAGCGACGACTAAGATTGATTTCCCGAGTGCAGATGGTCAAACGGTTCCCAAAAAGGTCCATCGTTGGAAAGAAAATGATTGGCCCGTGTCTCGAAGGCAGATGCGTCGCCATTATGAATCAACCGGCGAACGGATACGGGGCCCGGGAAACCAATAAGTCACCGTTTCCAATTAAAGGCTACGTGTCCCGGGGCGCGTTTGAACGTGCACCGTCGAAATCGTAGCTCGTACGTCCGACCACGTAACAAGCGATTCATTGTCACCAAATTGTACCGCTTTATCCGCGCGTATTCATTCGCGCGATTCAACGAACTCGAACGAATGGGCTGTCATAAAAGTGGCAACGCTCCAGAAACGTCATCGCAATTAACTGCCATACGGGACTGTCCAAAGCGGACCGTTAACCGACGCGTCCGTAAATACTGACTTCTGATACCTGAAAATAACTCGATCGAACAACTATACTTAGCGTTGTTAACTTCGTAATGTTCCGACGACTTTGTCAATCGTTTAGCGACAGCTTGGTATGTACTGTCAACTTTAGTGCTCCGGATGGTTTTGTAATTAGCAACTGCAACTTATTTTTATAATATTCTTTGACTTCCCTTCATAGTACAAAATTTGGATGCGTGGAGAATTGAATAATTTTAGGGTAGTTCAGACAAAAGGTTGCAAGGTATAGAGCTTAACCCTTCGCACTCGAGAATATTTTTTATGAAAAATACTCATTACTTTCTGACTAAATATTAACGATATTTCTCGCAACTAACACAATTCATTATCCTCTATAAATTAAGAGACAGAACTATTTTACTTCGATGTTTTACGTGTTGATACATTCCACAAGATTTAATATTGATTTTAAAATTTTATAAGTTTGCTGCGTCGAATCAGGCATAGGCTTAATATATAGTAATTATAGTTTTTCACAATACAGGGATATTATGTAGTGTTTCCAAATGACAATGGATACTTTGATTCCGACGTTATAGAAACAGGAACGGAAGTTTCCCAGAAAATGTTTGTTTCCCAGATGAAAATTAGTAATCATAGTAATTATAGTAATTATAGTTTTCTTCACAATACAGGGATATTATGTAGTGTTTCCAAATGACAATGGATACTTTGACTCCGACGTTATAGAAACAGGAACGGAAGTTTTCCAGAAAATGCATATTTCCCGGATGAAAATTATTTTGTTAACAGCGACCGCTTTGCGACGCGTTGGTAACCTTCAATTTTCGTTCGGCGAGTAATCGAATCTCGAGGTCTCGTCGACGCGACGCGTCGCTCAATATGAATCAGCCTGTGCATACTGTCGTGCTTACGTCCGTATCCCGCTTTCTCGGCGATTCATTGTCGGCGATATGCGCGCCGTCCTCGCGAACGCGGATCCCTCTTTTTATTGTCGCGACGATGACGTCAATTCTCTCTAATCTTGGCGCTCATTTCTGAAAATCACGATAGTGCCGACAGGCCAACAAGCGACACGGGCTGACGGACGTTTAGAACGATCATCGGTTTCCTGATTACGACCCTCGTGCCTCTTACAAAATGATTTCGCCTTGCAGCTCCGCTGCTTTTCGTTTTAACCCCTTGCACTCGAGAGGCGACTCTCAGTCACCACTTGATTTCACTTGCAAAATAAAATTTCTTTCTGTCGCCATTTGATGATTTGACCAATGGAAATGACAACAAGAAAATCGAAACCAGTCATTTCGACTGGTAGTTCTAGTGTTAAACAAGCAGCTATTTTTATCAGTTTAATCCACTGTTATCCTACTGCTTCGAGAAGCTAACGTTAAATTCTTAGAAGCTAACTTGAATTCCTGAATTCATTTATATTACAAGCCAATATAACAATCGACGAAAGAATATCTACTAAATTATCATTCAGTTCGTCGAACTCCATTAAAAATCTTCAACATGATATTACATAAGCATGATTACTTTGCAATTAACAATTCCTTAGAAGAAGAAGAGGCAATTAAGGCGATTAACAGAAAAAATAATACTTCGCTCGAACTCGGAGGAGTCACGTAACATTTATGTTTGTCGAATTCCGTTGAAAATCCTCGGAGTTCGCGGCGACGTTACAAGGCAATAGGTTAATTGCTCGGCTTTGATTGCAGGTGATCGCGGAGTGACGTGCAAACACAATGATCCTCGACGATTACGGTGCGTTCTCCTTTCTTCGGGAAGATTCGTTTCAAGGGGACGCGGCGCGCCGATCGAAGAAGCCCGAGCCGCTGTGCGCTGCGAACGTAAGCCGTTCATTGATGCTTTTGTTATCGATTCGCATGGTTGCTGTATTAACGACCGATGTTACGTAACGGAAGCCAAGGTCGAGGTTCGCGACCGTTGTCTTCGGAGACAAAGGATACACGAGATTCTAACGCGCGGCGATTTCTCTTTCAGACTTATCCGTTCGCCGCTGGAATGCTGATTGCTCGACCCTTTGCGGAGGAACGTCGACATTTTCGGATGAAAACTATATGAAGCTGGATGAAACTGGATGAAACTGGATAAAACCACGTATGAAACTAATTCAACTGGACAAAACCATAGAATACTGTATGGAGTTTTCATATTTCGAATACTGAGTCGCAAACGAATGAGTTACTCGAATAGCAGGAGATCAGTTCCCTTTTTTCTGTTGTTTAAACATTCGATAATTTAGCTTCATACGTTGCAAGCTTTCAGTACTTTAAAGATTGTTTTTAGTACACAAAACCTTTCGCAGATTCTGCTAAATTAAACGCTGAATACTTAAATCATAGGGAATAAGGAAACTGTGTACTGATTTCTTGCTGTTCGAATAGTTAAATCATTTGTTTGCAACTTGGTATTTCAGACATGGGAGTTTGATCTCAGCAGAATGCCGACATTCGTCCGCAAAGGGTTAAATTGATCTTGCATCCCTCATTGACCCCTTGCCATACAGTAATAGGTGAGATTTCAAGACTTCTAACTGTTGATTTTTATAACAGAATAATGAGTTGGTTTTGATTTAACTGAGAAAGTCAATGTTCAACGGATCATAGTAAGAAACCATTTTGCTACCACTAATTTATCATCTTTAAACACTTGGAACGTCACACGAGCTCAGCAGTGAAAGTGAGACTTTAATCTTCAAAATAGAATAATTTAATTCTCACTTTCACTGTCGAGCTCGCGAGAGGTTTCAAGTATTAATATAAATAAGATAATCTTTAAAATAGAATAACTTATTTATTAACTTACCTTCTCATGATTCCAGGAATGCAGGAGGCTAAATTACACTTGATTGCTCATCCTGTAATTGTCAAGCGCAAGCAACTACACGGCGAGTTAAGGCCTCGCCGGATTTCCCCATGAAAGGGAGAACCGCCACGTGAAATATTCAAATGCTAATGTTTATTATCGTATAAGTATAGACAAAATAGGCATTGCGTGAATATACATTGCGTGCTACAGATACATGAACGTGCGGTGCGAATTAAATATAGGAACGTCGGAATAATTATACATATACGTATCGTCGCCGATGAACCGTTGTCCTTCGCGTTGTTTACTACGCGAAGGGCACGAGACGGGAGTTCTGCAAAGTTTCCACGCTCGGCAGATGCGATTATCTGTTCTGTCGGAAAGAAAACTGTCGGGCGTTTCGAGGCCGAGACCGCGGCGACATTTTCGTTTCTCTCCGACGCGACCGTTCTTCCCGAGTGAATAATTTCTAACATGCTTATTCCCCTCCGCGAGTCTGTATCGTGCATTATTCATGAGTCCTACAATAATAAGCGAAGCGTTCATCGATATCGGCCGAGCGATACGTCAGAACCGGCACGAAATGGAATAAATGGAGAATAGAATAAATAACGGGATGCGGGCTACCCTACTAATGAGACTCGGTAAGACGAGGAATCGATAGGTCCCCCAGAATGAAGGGTTGTCTTTTTATTCCTCGAATTTCTGACGCGTCACCCGGCTCGCCCGTGATGTCATGTAAATACGAGGGATGCCGCCGGCAGACCAACGAAAATCGACGCTCGGATTCGATCGACCGGTTGCCGCTTTATCGTGCTACGATTGTCGCATAGAAATTACGTACCTAGCGCTAACAATGAAATAAATATGTAGATGCGAATGGACTCGAGCTCGGAGGAAGACGAACCGAGAAAGTGCTCAATGACAGCGATTGCTCGACATTCAACGGGACTCGTGCGTTGACTCGTACGTTTCTTCGTCTTCCTCTTACTCGCGGCGTAATGATGCGCGACCCTGTCAACGCGCGCGCGGCCGGTAACGTGGAACGATGTTCTGTGAAATTCTTCAATACTGGGAACGTAGTCATTTGGAATTGTTCAGCTGAGTACTGGTTAGTCCTAGTCTCTTTGACATTCTTTAGCTACTTAGCTTCAGCGGTTACTGAAGTACTGACAACGTAGTTCTATCGTGTACTCTTTACATTCGTATACATTCGGCTGGCAGACTCTTGCGACATTCAGCTGTAGACTTTAAGAGATTACGCGGTCGCGAACGCGTTGACAGCGGATCATAGTCAAGGACACGTTAATTGTCGCGTGTAACGATTGGAAGGGAGGAGTCCGGCTCCCGGGGGTTTTTACGCGTCTTCGTCGCCCCACTCGAAGACTTCCTCCCCGCCGGATGCCACATCGTCGGCGTTCGGCGTGTCTTCGACGGCGTTCTCGCCTGTGTGTGCTTTGCTCTCTGCTCCTACCGGCTCCTCGACGAACGGGTCGTCGGGTAGCTCCGGGTGGTCGTCTTCCTGGACGCTTTCTTCCTCGATCTGCCGGGGAAACGGTCGATTATCAAAACGTAATTCCTTGTTGCAAACGAATAAGCGATGCTCCAAACGCTTAAGATTCTCTGACATGTTAACTCGTTCAGTGCCACGTGCACCACATATGGTACACGCCAATGTTTGTAAGAAAATATTTTTAAGACACATGCTCATGGATGTACACGTTTAAAACAACGAAAACATGTTCAAATTTCCGGCAATGTTTATATATTTTGATATTGTTTCTGTGCTCGTTGCTCTGTAAGTTATATTCGGATTTCTTGTTTCCTTATAACTTAATATTTCATTTAAAAAATCAGTAGAGTTCATAAGCAAAATGTAACCGAAATTTCCGTGGCACTGAACGCGTTATAGGTGAAACAATGATCAGCTAAGGTTCAAAGGTAGCCTACCTTCGTCTCGTCCTCCGCGATCAGCACGAACGGCCTCTCCTCTTTCTCCTGATCCGTGACCTCGCTCTCGACCACGTCGTCCCGGGAGCAATCGACGTCTTTCACTTCGTCCGTGTCGTCGATCGCGACGTTCGCCAGCCTCTCCTCTTCCTCTTCCTGTACCCTAACCTTCTCGAGGTGTTCCTCGACGATCATTCTCTCCTCTTCCTCCATCAGGGCCGTCAGGCGAGCCTGCTCGAGCTGCCTGCACACGAGAGACGAAGAATCGATACTTAATCGCGCACGATCCTCAGGGTATCAATACAGCGGAGCTGCGGTAGAAGCTGAGAGTCACGATTAGAATGATAATGAAGCGTGTTTCTGCATTGACTTCAAACATTCAACCCTTTCGTCGCATCTTCCAGTGTCGGTTCACGATGATATTTCAAGTGCAACATATTTCAACTTTCTAATGTATACAAAACTAGTCAATTCTTAGACTGTAACTCTAGTAGCTAACCCGTTAAACTTACAGAAACAAATGATACACAACTGACTTCGAAGCTGAATTGTAAATTAACTCTAGAGCTACCAAACAGTCCAATTGACTTCCCTTAACTTCTTCCTAGAAACTAAAACTAAATTCAACGAGATTCCATTGTACTTCAGTTTGGGAATGCCAAATCATCTTCAGCTCGTCAGACAAGCGTCTGTCTTCTCAATAATCGCGAGGAAATCAGAAACGTTCCCATTCATCCGTTCCACTCGTGAAACAAAAGCGTCTTTCGCCGATCGTCGCTTAGCTGTAGGCATACCCTAACTCTAAAGACCCGTGGCTTCAGCCAGAGAACAATCGAAGGTCCCACGCGAAATTACCTTTCGACCTCCCGTATTCTTTCGGCCTCCAGCCGATCAGCTTCCATTTTCGCCTCCTCGGCTTGCCTCTCGGCCTGCGCTTTCTCCTGGTCGAGGATTTCATTGATATGCTCCGCGCGTTCCTGCGCCACCTGCAGCGCTTCCCACGCCTTCACCTCTTCCAGCTCGAGCTGCACCCTCTCCTCCTCGGCCGCCTGCTTCCTCTCCTCGTCGCTTCTGCAGCGGAATGTTTCAGCGTTACACGATCCAATTAGGTCCGAGATTAACTAAGACCGACGAGTATTCCGCGGGGTCGGCTTGTTGTGCAATGCCTTACGCTCGGCCGTATACCTCGGTGCGTGCCAAATCCGACGGATTTACGTACCTGGCCTGCTCGGCTGCTTTAACCAGATATTGCTCTATTTTCTTGATCGCCTCCTCCTTGTCCTGTTTCACTGAAACCGAGAATTCACCAGTGACCGCGCTGCTCGATGGACCGACCGGGGGATCGCGTTGAACCGCGTAGAGACCGAGGGACTGCGGATTTCCCTGCGTTCGTGGGAATTTTTTTAACTATTCTAATGACATCTAAATTCTAATTAGATAATTCTTAATCCATCTGAATGATATTTATATAACAACTCCCTTAAAAGTAGTACCGATCTCTCTCCAATCTATCTTCTTATTAACTTTCTTATTCACTTCCATAAACATATTTCTTTCCACGTATCAATGACATTTATAACAATTTTCCTAAAAGAAACATTCGTCTCTCTCCACTCTATCCTAGTCATCGGTAAAGCCAAGTTCCCATTATTCAACTGTTCCATTACTATCTCGTATTTCAATTACCAATTCTATACCATTCCCAATCACTCTATCAATCTACAATTCCAATCGCGTTCCCAGCGATGACGATCCACACGAAAACCCGCAGTCCAGTCGAGCGACTTATCGACACCGTCGCGAGACCGCGTTCGGAGTGCACCTTCGAAACGTATAGGGGACCAAGACTTGACGATCGTCCGCGTGCGTCGACGGCCCACGGGTCAGGCGACAGAGTGCACGTGACACAGGGTACGTTCCATGCAACAACGATTCCGCTCCATGCGACAGATTCCGCAAGACAGTGTAACGAGCACGAACAACAATGAGAGACCTTACTCGCCGCTACTCACTTCCGACTTGATTCCCGTTTGACCATCATCGGCTAACATACCCTTGTCGTCCTCTGCCTGGTTCTCGCCTGCCGCTTCCGTTTCACTTACAGCTTCCGTAGCCTGAGCCTCCGAGCGCGCTTCCGGCGCTGCCTCTTGCTTGGCTTCCGGTTCGGCCGCCGGTTCCTGCGCTGGTTCCGGCTGAGCCTCTTGCGCGGGCTCCGCTTTCGCTTCTACGACTGGTTCAGCCTCTTTCGCAGGCTCCGGCGCAGGTTCAGCCTCTTTCGCAGGCTCCGGAGCTGGTTCGGCCTCTTTGGCAGGCTCCGGAGCTGGTTCAGGC